CTCTGCGCCACCTATGACAGATTTGTATACATTTGATTTCTTTCGAGCCGGAAAAAAATTTATCTCATCATTTGCCTTTAAGGCACATTTTGTGATTTGTTTCGGAGCCATCTTTCCGTTAAGTGATGTACAAGGTGGTCAATAATAACGTAACAAAAAGTAGTTCGTGGAAAATCTGTACGGCTCGAAAAGGCAAGTGGTAAACAATAAAACATATATTATATTTATACAGCTTGATAATTGATAGCCATATCAATTTTACAATAAGCTATTTTACTAGTTGTTTCTCCAATCTGTAGGCATGTCATGACCAGGTGCTCGTCTTTATCACAAGAATCATCAGAAGACTCCTTTATGGTATCGTTTTCTGTGGTAACGAAGGCGGAGCTTTTTCCGTGGAAGATTCCTTTGAGTGGACACTATCTGCATACAAGTGATCATCAAAGTGGCGGGACTTGACAGTGGACACTGTTTGAAAGTGGCGGCTTCCTTTGAACGTTGGGTCCCGCCACTATTGAGTCGCTGGTACATAGTTCGACTCGCTGGTACATCGTTCGACTCGCTGGCGCAAAGTTCGATTCGCTGGTGCAACGTTCGATTCGCTGGCGCAACGCTCGGATCCAGCGATTCGCTAGCGAATCGCTCGATTCGCAAACTATGACATCGGCCTGTGACTTGTCCGCTAATCCGTATGCGTCTCTCTGAATTCCAACTTTTCGCCGCGCGACGAGCCTCCCGTCGGGTACCCGATCCAAACGTGAAAGCCACTTTCAAAATACCATTGGTTTTAGTTTGAAGTTGTACTTTGTACACTCTTATTACCGTAACTTGTGGCCACCCTAAACATAATTTGTTCTGCCCTGCAAGAGCGCCAGGAGATTACTTAAAGGACGAATTCACGATGAAAAAGCAACCCATTTCAAATTAACCTAGGGATGGTGAGTGGTACACGAAAGAAGAACCATGAGAAACGGCCCAGAACCCGAGAAATGGACCCCTTCCTTGCCCGTTGATTTGAGCATTGATGCGACTCTCATCGCTGTGCCCTCTTCAACACTACGCTCTCTCAGCTATCTAATCACTCGCCACGTATTGAACTACGGCGAGTGATCAGATGATCGGTGGGCGGAGATCGCCGGACCCGCCAGCTTTGAGGCATGATAGGTCGCCGAGGTCAAATTTTTCCATGCGAATTGCGCGTCAGTTCGCACCCTCAGGAGGTCCGTGGGTCCCTCAACTAGGTCAGTTTCCCTTTCTTCGACCTTCATTCTAATCGTGAATTCCTCCTTTAAAGCAATTCTCAATCTGTATTAGGTTGCTTCACAACTTCTCAGCCGCTTTATGATTAACGTCGTGAAATTTCTCAGAACTTCCATTACCTCGGACACACCTACACCTACCTACTATACAACATGTTTTGCGACGAATTGCTTGTAAGATGTCCACTCACCACTTGAGGACTGATGTCGTAACCATTGTTCAAAAATCGCGAAGAATACCTGAAGTGGGACACATTCAAATGATTATATGCACTCGTTTTACTTCACACCTAAACTTTCCGGTAAAGTCGGACGTGGTACGATTAGGAGGCAACAGAGAACCAAACACGTGATGGAGCACGCTGGCTGTTGATGGTTGCAAGTCCCTGATAGGGCGTTCTTTGTGACAAACCTGGCGCGACCTTTTTCGGGTACAGACCCCAAGCAACATTCACTCTGAACGATGATCCCTACTACGCGCTAATCCTCGTGCTAACTTGAGAAAGATTTACAGCAAATGAATCGATTGTCATTCATAAGGGACTACTGAAACTCGCATTACAGTCGATTCATTAGTCAGTTGACATGGCATTTGAATGCCTCCAAGATAAATACAAGAGTTATGCCCGGCGCTCTGAACGAATGGTTCTAGCTTTAACACGGTTTGAAGTAGCTCAACGCGATGGACTAAGAAATTTAATCTTACTGCTCAGAAACCGTTTAGTCAACGAATTTTGTGGAAGGAGTGGCGAACAATCCAGGTTCGTGCGTCAATATCTCTTGTATATTCAGCCATAACCTGAAATCAGGTGATTAACTAAACATTAACTCGCTAAGGAGATGTTACGTCCAGTTATCGTTTGTATAATTATGATTGGATTAACAATAAAATCTTCAATTGTAATAGAGTAGTTTGATGCTTCTGTTCTTGCCATTCTAGCTATCTGCAGTCCATGTGGTCGAGCTTCCCTCTCTGTTCAGCTCTGATAAGACTCCGATTAGTCTATTGGAGTATATGATACCAACAGCTGTTTACAAGCTGACGACACGCCACTGTTGTTTACTTTCTGATTCTAGAGACGCACTGATAAGTGCACTCTGCATGTCCCGTGGCTCACTATGCCAAGGATTCTCAAGTAAGATCTGCCGTCCGCTGTGTCAGGGCCTCCTACGTCCACCTATGCCCTGGCTCATCTTCGTTCGCCTGCTCTCTCGCTCTTTTGCAACTGTCTCTTGCCCTCCTCTCTATTCATTTTAACACGCTATTGCAGCATGATGCCTGATATTGAATGTTCTTCACAATTCCTTCTGCCGTGTGTCTTTTTTGGTCTTGGTTCTGATGCTCCATCTTCAAATGATGTTTTTCACTTTACTGACAAACTGACAAGTAATAGCTAAACACCTGCGCTTCATTAGTTATACGGTTCATATGATTTGGGATGTCTCTTTGTCTCCTTTTTATGTTCCTCGGCGCATTTTGAATACTACAATTATTAATCCGGTCCGAATTCCCTTCATTGCCATCAATTGATTATATTTTCTTAGTGGGCGCGAGTTTCTCATCGCTTTGGCCTAATACGGTTTTCCCTACCCCCTATGTTTGTTTTTTTTGAATCTCCAACAAAAAACTTCGAAGGGGCTTATTTTGGACCCCCGCTTTTTTTTTTTCAGAAGCTCTTTTTTCCGCTCTTGTCAACTCTGTGAACATGATAGCGATCAAAGATAAGAGCATCATCACTCCATCTAAGGCACTTCCGATTAGCATCGTTAATCTTTCCACCTCTATCGTACACAGTTCGAAATGCGTTATGTGCGTACCCCCAGCCTTGGAAGGTGCTACGATAGTGTTAAAAGATTTCGTTGACCAGCAGGCCTTACCTGTCCCGACAAAAGGACCGCGTTCCTGTCATTTCCAGCTAGCAGCGAGGCACCGCATTTGCTTAGCACATAGTCATGTGTAGTTCAATTCACTAGACCGAGCATACTGCAGCCAAGCCTGCAGAAAAGCTGACCCCTTGTCCATCCTAAATAAGCAAACCAGCCCTTTTGGCGCTTCTGCTGGGGCCGTATACTGAATGTTGGGGAGGATGGGGTCCCCAACGGTCGACGGACCACTTCAACTCGGTCTTCAAAACCGCCTCAATTGATGCTTACCACAGGACTAAGCCTTGAAGAGAGGAAGTCTTTCGCAGGTCCGTCCTCGTTTCCAACGGCTTAGTCTTGAAGTAGTAAGCCAGCCTTTACGGAGTCTGGACCTACGCCCACCACTTTTCATCAAGCTATCCTGCTTATCCCGACCGAGTTCAAGTTTCTTCGAAGTGTGACCCCATCCTCTCTCCAACATCAGCATAGCGCTCCCAGCAAAACTTCAAAAATTTAGGTTGCTTACCTGAGTGAGCCGGGTCAAAAAAAAGAGGGAATATTTGAGAACTATCGCGAGTCTTCTCATCTTTTTTCCTTTTCAGACCAGGCCCCAAGCTCGCCACCCCTAACTTTATTATTCCACGCTTTTATGAACCCATTTTTTCCGGGGTTTGATCTAGAGGGCAACGCTACCGATTCTACCAAGCGTTAGCCATAGCGGATATCACGGGGTATGAAGGTTCACAGGGCTCATACTTTGACCGCACTAAATAATAGGGACTATCACATGCTATGTATGAAGCCCACAGCAACAGAATCGTTTCTACATGGAGAATATCGCCATCTATCGGAGGGAAATGTGGCCCAATAGTACTCTATCGTTAAAGTAACACGACTTTCCTGACACCAAATTGGTGCCGAAAGCAACATGAGCGTTCACTAAATCAGAATTTTCTCCCCGCAACCACTCTTTTTCGATAAAAACGAATTCTGTAAATGTGGCCTATCATAATATACAGTCAGTTGGTGCAATGCATTAGCGTGAACCATGTGTTTCATTAAAACAGGACAAAAGCTTTAGGTAGGCCGGCAACTTCCATGGCTCAGCCATTTCATTGCCCCCAATTTCTGCCCCTGTACGCTTCGCTTTTCCCAAGAAGCTCCCTTCTACGCTTATCCTATATAGATGCCCCATACGGGGGCCTCAATGTACAAGAGCTAACGTCAGGATGCAGTAACAATTTACCTCATCTGGAGAAATCCGAAAGAGCGACGATATGACCGCAACCGTCAGCGCATACCAGCATGTTGGCTGGATATTTTTGACCACTTCAGAGCACGGCACGATTGCGTCGGCCACGTCGAGGTGAGCCTGAACTGAGTCGTATTTCACAGCATATGCAACACGAAATTCGAAAATGCATTGAGAAGTGTTACTTTTTCGAGCAAGGGAAAGAGGGTCCCCCGCCTGTCGACGATTGGATGATGTTTCTGATAGACCAGATTTACCCCCACTGCATATTGGGTATTATACAGGGGGGCCAAAAAAAAAAGACATTTTGCCTATGTCGGACTTCGGCTCTTTTTTCTTCGCAGAGATTGCTGTCGTTGACGGGAGTTCCTCAGCAGAGTATTCCCTAAGTGTTCCTCTATTAGTGTACGCAGGCTCTCCTTCACTGCCCTCACCGTCTTCAGAATATGACGTCATCTGTCACCGTCGTCAGGCTCAAGGAGGTCTACCGTAAGAGCTTCAGCCTGAAGCTCTTACGCAATTTCGTGAATCGATTTAATGTTGGATAGTTTTCTAGAGGCATTAGCTACCACTGTGCAAATCCCCTCGGAACTAGCTTTCCAGTAAGGGTCGTTATGGTACACGATCCTTCGAAGACCCCATTGAGATCGACCAGTGCACCATGTTTCCAGGGCTAATTCTTCTGATGCCGTCCACGTACGTGGCCACTATGAAGATTTTCTTATAGAATGGAATGCACTCTTTAATAATAAGTTGGAACCGTTCGGTCTGAGTTGAGTAAAATGTGCTTAAATCCATCTGGAAGTGGAGGCAAAATGTCTTTTTTTTTGGCCCCCCCCCCTGTATACGTCTATTTATTCACCCTCATGCTTTTGGGTTTGGTTTTTTAGAAATATGATGCAACACGATAGCTCGCAATCTGTTGCACGTTACAGTGTACAACGCTTGTGGATTTGCTTCATTATGGTGCCTACACGCGAGCAGAAAGCACTGCTTTCGCGACAAAATAGATGTTGGTCTCGAATCCTGGTGAATCTGCCTGATGAGAGGTCTGTTCGGACTATTATGTTAATTGACATGTTGACGACAGGCTGACACGCATGCTCATCAAAATTTTTGCACCGCATCGGACATTCTGAGGCGCTCCGTCAAAACCATGTCATATTTTCATTGAAATATTGCGTCATTACTTACCGAGTTTTTTTCGCAATCTTCTATATATAATACATTTGATAACTATAAAACACATGCCCAGAATGTCAATATCCTGATTAGCAGAGAATTTTCCCACGGTTCTTTGCTAACTATGTCGCAGTTCGTGTTCACGAGGATGTTCACGAGAATACTGGCTTATAAGCAAAACTTTTGCCCCAGTGGCACTCCAACCCGCACCACTCGCCCAAAGGCAAGAATCACGATTCAAGTAGTGTCGTAGTGCCACTGAAATATGGAGGGAGGGAAGGTGGACCGCATGTGGAGAAAAAGAAAGAAAATTGTGAAATACACAGGAAATACGAGCCTTTTGCTCTACGCTGCGGAGAAGTTCAAAAGGCCAGGCAGGGAGATGAGAGATAATGTGAGCGCGGAGAGTGGTAGAGAAGTCCGAGAAGAGAGAGCATAGCAGATCAACGTTAGCGACGCAGACAAGATATCGAACGGTGGGCGGACCATGTTAAGTTTGGTGGAGTCTGTTAGAAGTCCATGGCGCCTAGGGTCCTAGTGACGCGTTTCGATGTAGAAAGGTGGCGCTACCTTTGCACTTGCGTACCCAGCACTTTTACCACGGGAAACGCATGTTTAGTGGTTTTGAGCCAAAACTTTACCTTTACCGAGCAGGTGCGCTTCAAGTTACGCTATTGCTTACATAGCTCATCAGCTCTCACGCCTGGGGTGAAAGTTTGTTGTTAGTTTGTGACCAGTATTCTTGTGAAACATTCGCAACGCGAACCGTATACGTATGTCGTCTTCCCAGCCTGATCGCCAACTTTCCTACTCGGCCAATCGCCTAATCGCCTTGTCGTACGTACGATCGCCAACTCTGAACAACCCACTGAGCGTTCAGCTTCGCGGTTCACTGACATCGGCAGCATTTACACGCCTAACGTGATGAGCCGGTTCACTACCGATGTCAGTGAACCGGCTCATCACGTTAGACGTGCAGATGCTGATAAGCTAAGGTAAATACACCATCAAAAGCTGAGTTGGCCAAATGGTGCCCACGGTAGTGTAAGCTTGTAGCCCATAGGCCCGGTAAGTGAAAGGTGCAGGATCGAGTCTCGCATTTGGTGAAAGTTTGGTTCCATCAGTACTATTATATTGACCCGGCATCGAGAAGCATTATCTGTTTACTAGAAAATTAGGGAATTTTGGGGCCATGAAGTATACAGTCGATATCCGAAAGTTGGGGTGGGTGTGTCACCGGAAGTGACGTGCACTTGATAGAAGTGCGTGGATAAGCTGTTGCCAGCATGCTTTGCTGATATCCAGCGATGTATGTTGGAAGCAGCTTATCCACATAGTTTCTATCAAGTGCACGTCACTTCCGGTGACACGCCTACCCCAACTCAGATATCGAGTACCCTCCCCTTCAAAAAGCGAGAAAGTGTCGGGTGCAGACCATGCACCACAAGTGACGACGGCCTTCACAAAATGTTAATGTTTTCTGCCAATGAAATGATTAGCCTGTTGCAGTTGTATTCTATCGATTGTCACTAATTAAACAACTATGAACAACTTCTAACCAGATTTACTTGGAGGCCGTCGTCAGTTGTGGTGTTTGGTCTGCACCCGACACTTTCTCGCTTTTTGAAGGGAGGTTATATGTACTGTTGTATGTCGAATGACTTGACTTTGCTTAGCCTTTGATACGGGTATTCATTTACTTTATCTCATAGTTCTACAGTTCTCCAACCCTCCAGAAATTTCTAGAATGTGGTGTTTATTTAATGGAAATGCCTCTAATCATCTTTGAATACTCGCCACTGATCAAAACATATCATCCCCTTTTGGTAGGTTTTGCGATCCGCCGAAAATGCTGAGTTTGAAGATATTCTTACGTTTGCGGCGAGAGCCATGAGATAAATGACGAGATATATTGAAACACCAACGACTAGAACACTGAAGATGGCAGCGCCAATAGCCGAGGGGAGTGCAAGACCTGAAAATCGCGTTGACATAATTTGCCGAAGTTATTTTTGCGCTGATGGTCACAGCTATGTACGCTGCAGTTTTCACTGAGGGTACCAGTGTACTCAGGGAGGGGGCATACTGTACGGGCCAAGTCTAGGGAGATAGATGAACTTCGGGGACAATGCGACTTGCTTACACCCTGTCTCTTTAAGGTTTAGTCCTAATCTAGAAAGAGGGGGGGGTGATTGGAGTCTGAATGGGCTCCCCCGAAAAACAGTGCCTTCCCCCTTCTCTTGTGCAAAAGCGCCTCATAAAGCATAATCCAAAAAAAACGCAACAAACCAGCCTTCGTAAGACGAGTTATGCGTGCTCATACCGTTGCGAAGACAATAAGTTTGAAGAATGAACCCGAATCAAAGCCAGCTAATGGATGAAATCAAACAATGAAGCAATGATAAATATCACTCCATCAAATAGGAGCCACCCCTGGTATTTCAATTCACGGAAACTCGGTGGGCAACTACCTGAACTCCGGCAAAATAAACTAGGGAACTGACATGGAAAAGGGGAATGCAGGCTGAGTGCTGGCAAATCTACGAAGTGCTTCGGTACTAGGTCCTGTGTAGAAAAGTGTACGTCCATAGTCACCTTAGTTACATTGCTAAGAAAGTGTCGCCTACACGGGAAGGCCCAGCAGGGAGGATCAAGCCCCGTATCTGCCAAGGAGGAACTGTTAGCTCTACCCTGTCTCACTGAAGAACACTCCTAGGCGAAGAATTTGAACACCAGGGTTTTGTCATCGCCGGGTTGTTGCACCAACTTCCAGCCGAGGTGCGCCGTGCTGACCGGAGTCGGAAAGCACTAACCATAAGTCTGCTGTGATAGGCACATGAAGCAGAACTTCAAGGTCCATATATTCCATTTCCTTCTGCCAGACTTTCTCAATATCAGGGTCCTGCGCTTCTTCCAGGAATTATGGCGGCGCAGTGCTTGGAACATGCAGGCGCTCTTGAGAGCAGATGGCAATCGTAACTGTCGGTGTGTTGGTAGGGAGGTTGGTGCAATATTAATATTCTTTTACAACATCGTCGGAGTGAGCAACTCGATGATCAAAGGGACGACAGGTGATACAAGTATTAATTGTCGGAACTACGACAATCGGGCACCTCAGAATAGAAGGTGGATACTACAGCACTATGTCAGGTCTCGCCATTCCTCGAAAAGTGAATAGAAGTTCTTCTTGAAGAGTGCAGCACTAAAAATCTTTTAATTCTTACATCTTCTGAAATCTAACAAAATCATAAAGTTAATCTGGAAATATTTGATCTTGAAGTTCTTCCTCGAGTGAAGCAATTGCTCAGCAACCACTGCCACAGGTTCCACCATCGTCCTCGTCCATTTTATGCTCTGGCAAAAACTAAGCCCACGGCCGGGATCGAACCGGCAATCTTCTGATTAGAAGTCAGACGCCTTATCCATTAGGCCACGCGGGCGACACCACCTGTGAAGCACCACTTTACAGCTCAAAAAATTTTGATTTCATATGTTTTTCCTCACGTGCAACCATTGCGCAGCACACCCAATGGCTCGTAAGCCTTCCACCATCGTCCTCGTCCATTTTATGCTCTGGCAAAAACTAAGCCCACGGCCGGGATCGAACCGGCAATCTTCTGATTAGAAGTCAGACGCCTTATCCATTAGGCCACGCGGGCGACACCACCTGTGAAGCACCACTTTACAGCTCAAAACAATTCATTTCATGTTTTTTCCTCACGTGCAAGCATTGCGCAGCACACCCAATGGCTCGTAAGCCTTCCACCATCGTCCTCGTCCATTTTATGCTCTGGCAAAAACTAAGCCCACGGCCGGGATCGAACCGGCAATCTTCTGATTAGAAGTCAGACGCCTTATCCATTAGGCCGCGCGACACCACTGTGAAGCACCACTTTACAGCTCAAAACAATTCATTTTTCATGTTTTTCCTCACGGGCGAGCATTGCGCAGCACACCCAATGGCCCGTAAGCCTTCCACCATCGTCCTCGTCCATTTTATGCTCTGGCAAAAACTAAGCCCACGGCCGGGATCGAACCGGCAATCTTCTGATTAGAAGTCAGACGCCTTATCCATTAGGCCACGCGGGCGACACCACCTGTGAAGCACCACTTTACAGCCTGAAATTTTGATTTCATATGTTTTTCCTCACGTGCAACCATTGCGCAGCACACCCAATGGCTCGTAAGCCTTCCACCATCGTCCTCGTCCATTTTATGCTCTGGCAAAAACTAAGCCCACGGCCGGGATCGAACCGGCAATCTTCTGATTAGAAGTCAGACGCCTTATCCATTAGGCCACGCGGGCGACACCACCTGTGAAGCACCACTTTACAGCTCAAAACAATTCATTTTTCATGTTTTTCCTCTCGTGCATCAGCGCAGCCAACCAATGGTCGTAAGCTTCCATCGTCCCGTAAATTTGATGCTTGCAAAACTAAGCCCACGGCCGGGATCGAACCGGCAATCTTCTGATTAGAAGTCAGACGCCTTATCCATTAGGCCACGCGGGCGACACCACCTGTGAAGCACCCTTTACAGCTCAAAACAATTCATTTTTCATGTTTTTCCTCACGGGCGAGCATTGCGCAGCACACCCAATGGCCGTAAGCCTTCCACCATCGTCCTCGTCCATTTTATGCTCTGGCAAAAACTAAGCCCACGGCCGGGATCGAACCGGCAATCTTCTGATTAGAAGTCAGACGCCTTATCCATTAGGCCACGCGGGCGACACCACCTGTGAAGCACCACTTTACAGCTCAAAACAATTCATTTTTCATGTTTTTCCTCACGTGCAAGCATTGCGCAGCACACCCAATGGCTCGTAAGCCTTCCACCATCGTCCTCGTCCATTTTATGCTCTGGCAAAAACTAAGCCCACGGCCGGGATCGAACCGGCAATCTTCTGATTAGAAGTCAGACGCCTTATCCATTAGGCCACGCGGGCGACACCACCTGTGAAGCACCACTTTACAGCTCAAAACAATTTCATTTTCATGTTTTTCCTCACGGTGCAAGCATTGCGCAGCACACCCAATGGCTCGTAAGCCTTCCACCATCGTCCTCGTCCATTTTATGCTCTGGCAAAAACTAAGCCCACGGCCGGGATCGAACCGGCAATCTTCTGATTAGAAGTCAGACGCCTTATCCATTAGGCCACGCGGGCGACACCACCTGTGAAGCACCACTTTACAGCTCAAAACAATTCATTTTTCATGTTTTTCCTCACGTGCGAGCATTGCGCAGCACACCCAATGGCCCGTAAGCCTTCCACCATCGTCCTCGTCCATTTTATGCTCTGGCAAAAACTAAGCCCACGGCCGGGATCGAACCGGCAATCTTCTGATTAGAAGTCAGACGCCTTATCCATTAGGCCACGCGGGCGACACCACCTGTGAAGCACCACTTTACAGCTCAAAACAATTCATTTTTCATGTTTTTCCTCACGGGCGAGCATTGCGCAGCACACCCAATGGCGTAAGCCTTCCACCATCGTCCTCGTCCATTTTATGCTCTGGCAAAAACTAAGCCCACGGCCGGGATCGAACCGGCAATCTTCTGATTAGAAGTCAGACGCCTTATCCATTAGGCCACGCGGGCGACACCACCTGTGAAGCACCACTTTACAGCTCAAAACAATTCATTTTTCATGTTTTTCCTCACGGGCGAGCATTGCGCAGCACACCCAATGGCTCGTAAGCTTTCCACCATGTCTGCATTTATGCTCGGCAAAATAGCCAAGCCTGGGAAGACCGGCAATCTTCTGATTAGAAGTCAGACGCCTTATCCATTAGGCCACGCGGGCGACACCACCTGTGAAGCACCACTTTACAGCTCAAAACAATTCATTTTTCATGTTTTTCCTCACGTGCAACCATTGCGCAGCACACCCAATGGCTCGTAAGCCTTCCACCATCGTCCTCGTCCATTTTATGCTCTGGCAAAAACTAAGCCCACGGCCGGGATCGAACCGGCAATCTTCTGATTAGAAGTCAGACGCCTTATCCATTAGGCCACGCGGGCGACACCACCTGTGAAGCACCACTTTACAGCTCAAAACAATTCATTTTTCATGTTTTTCCTCACGGGCGAGCATTGCGCAGCACACCCAATGGCCTCGTAAGCCTTCCACCATCGTCCTCGTCCATTTTATGCTCTGGCAAAAACTAAGCCCACGGCCGGGATCGAACCGGCAATCTTCTGATTAGAAGTCAGACGCCTTATCCATTAGGCCACGCGGGCGACACCACCTGTGAAGCACCACTTTACAGCTCAAAACAATTCATTTTTCATGTTTTTCCTCACGTGCAACCATTGCGCAGCACACCCAATGGCTCGTAAGCCTTCCACCATCGTCCTCGTCCATTTTATGCTCTGGCAAAAACTAAGCCCACGGCCGGGATCGAACCGGCAATCTTCTGATTAGAAGTCAGACGCCTTATCCATTAGGCCACGCGGGCGACACCACCTGTGAAGCACCACTTTACAGCTCAAAACAATTCATTTTTCATGTTTTTCCTCACGGGCGAGCATTGCGCAGCACACCCAATGGCTCGTACCATCGTCCTCGTCCATTTTATGCTCTGGCAAAAACTAAGCCCACGGCCGGGATCGAACCGGCAATCTTCTGATTAGAAGTCAGACGCCTTATCCATTAGGCCACGCGGGCGACACACCTGTGAAGCACCACTTTACAGCTCAAAACAATTCATTTTTCATGTTTTTCCTCACGGGCGAGCATTGCGCAGCACACCCAATGGCCCGTAAGCCTTCCACCATCGTCCCTCGTCCATTTTATGCTCTGGCAAAAACTAAGCCCACGGCCGGGATCGAACCGGCAATCTTCTGATTAGAAGTCAGACGCCTTATCCATTAGGCCACGCGGGCGACACCACCTGTGAAGCACCACTTTACAGCCTGAAATTTTGATTTCATATGTTTTTCCTCACGTGCAACCATTGCGCAGCACACCCAATGGCTCGTAAGCCTTCCACCATCGTCCTCGTCCATTTTATGCTCTGGCAAAAACTAAGCCCACGGCCGGGATCGAACCGGAATTTTATTTTTTTTTTTTTTTTTTTTTTTTTTTTTTTTTTTTTTTTTTTTTTTTTTTTTTTTTTTTTTTTTTTTTTTTTTTTTTTTTTTTTTTTTTTTTTTTTTTTTTTTTTTTTTTTATAGACGCTTATCCATGTAGGCCACGCGGGCGACACCACCTGTGAAGCACCACTTTACAGCCTGAAATTTTGATTTCATATGTTTTTCCTCACGTGCAACCATTGCGCAGCACACCCAATGGCTCGTAAGCCTTCCACCATCGTCCTCGTCCATTTTATGCTCTGGCAAAAACTAAGCCCACGGCCGGGATCGAACCGGCAATCTTCTGATTAGAAGTCAGACGCCTTATCCATTAGGCCACGCGGGCGACACCACCTGTGAAGCACCACTTTACAGCTCAAAACAATTCATTTTTCATGTTTTTCCTCACGGGCGAGCATTGCGCAGCACACCCAATGGCCCGTAAGCCCTTCCACCATCGTCCTCGTCCATTTTATGCTCTGGCAAAAACTAAGCCCACGGCCGGGATCGAACCGGCAATCTTCTGATTAGAAGTCAGACGCCTTATCCATTAGGCCACGCGGGCGACACCACCTGTGAAGCACCACTTTACAGCCTGAAATTTTCATTTTCATATGTTTTTCCTCACGTGCAACCATTGCGCAGCACACCCAATGGCCGTAAGCCTTCCACCATCGTCCTCGTCCATTTTATGCTCTGGCAAAAACTAAGCCCACGGCCGGGATCGAACCGGCAATCTTCTGATTAGAAGTCAGACGCCTTATCCATTAGGCCACGCGGGCGACACCACCTGTGAAGCACCACTTTACAGCCTGAAATTTTGATTTCATATGTTTTTCCTCACGTGCAACCATTGCGCAGCACACCCAATGGCTCGTAAGCCTTCCACCATCGTCCTCGTCCATTTTATGCTCTGGCAAAAACTAAGCCCACGGCCGGGATCGAACCGGCAATCTTCTGATTAGAAGTCAGACGCCTTATCCATTAGGCCACGCGGGCGACACCACCTGTGAAGCACCACTTTACAGCTCAAAACAATTCATTTTTCATGTTTTTCCTCACGGCGAGCATTGCGCAGCACACCCAATGGCCGTAAGCCTTCCACCATCGTCCTCGTCCATTTTATGCTCTGGCAAAAACTAAGCCCACGGCCGGGATCGAACCGGCAATCTTCTGATTAGAAGTCAGACGCCTTATCCATTAGGCCACGCGGGCGACACCACCTGTGAAGCACCACTTTACAGCTCAAAACAATTCATTTTTCATGTTTTCCTCACGGGCGAGCATTGCGCAGCACACCCAATGGCCCGTAAGCCTTCCACCATCGTCCTCGTCCATTTTATGCTCTGGCAAAAACTAAGCCCACGGCCGGGATCGAACCGGCAATCTTCTGATTAGAAGTCAGACGCCTTATCCATTAGGCCACGCGGGCGACACCACCTGTGAAGCACCACTTTACAGCTCAAAACAATTCATTTTCATGTTTTTCCT